GAGAGAGAGAGAGAGAGAGAGAGAGAGAGAGAGAGAGATTGGATGAAGCATTTGAAGATGGTCAATCTTTTTATGTGCTGTGAGTAGTAATAGGATACTGTATTTGTATGAAGAATAAATATTCTGAACAAATATAAACCATATATTTTACATATTGTCTGGTAATTCACTTCTGATAAATGGATATTAATATCAAAAATATAATATTACACTTATTTGAAATACATAATATATTAATACATAATATATTAGCTTAATATATTTTAGCTTGTTTAATATAGATTTATTAATAGCAAATTAACCAGATTTAAAGGTTTGCCATTTTTATTGTTAGGTACAGTATTTGTTTGTATTGCACCCATAGATGTTAGTTATTAGACATACAGTATAGTTATCCATACAATATATAGAATAAAGGAATCTATTAATGAAATGAATTCTGACTTTATTTGTGACATTAAACTGATATTAGAGAAGAAAGTATAGAATTGATAGAGAATTGAATAGTTTAATGATTGTTATAGTCGTGAACACAACACTTGAGTTGATTGTAAACGACAGACTTGTGAGCACTTAATTTATTACATTTGCCTCAAATCGACTCCATATCTAAATTATTTACTGAATCTTTTCATATCATTCTCTACTTTACAGTTAAAAATATTTTTACTCAGATTTGGACCATTAGTTCAGTTGCATAGAGTTTGTGAAGTGTGAAAAAAGTTATTAACAATATTATGGGACATATTTATAAATAGGATATTCTGTTGTCATAATTGATTTATATATCCATTACTATTAATCATGTTTTTTATTTCTGCTTTCCGTTTTATATTTAATATTTACAACTCATATAAAACCAATAATCACTTCATTTTATTACTACTTTAAATATTAAATTTATAATTAATATGCAATTTGTATCTAAATTTATTTATTTATAAATTATGTTTTTTATAGTTTTGTTGAGATAATTATGCAAATTAACTATTTTTAATGATATGATTACGTTAATAGCTATACAGTGATTCCCTGGTGAAATTGTCTGATGAATGTCCAAACGCTGTCACCCATACATCATCCGTGTCCAAAGTGGAGATTAGTGTTATGTGGCACTCGCCCGCACCCGGCTCTGGATGTGTTGTCTTCAAGTAATATACTCTTACTTATTATATCATTTATTATTATCACGTGTTATCATAACTAACACTATTTTATGTTCAATAATACGTAAATTTCTGATTACAAAATTGTTTGTTAGGATTAATTTTAATAATAAAAATGTTGACGATATGGTAGTGATATTGAATGATATGATTGTTTGAATTGATGTGAATCAGGGCAACAGTGGTGGAGCGGAAGGACATGTGGTATATGGATGAGGGCGGGCTCACTAAAGTGATCTGCGAAGAGGAGTCCGAAAGCAATGACGAACAGCCGGACATCATAGAGGAGTGCTGTGCCTGCGATGAGGCCAAGTATGAGGTGACGTTTGAGGGCTTGTGGTCTAAGTATACCCACCCGAAGGACTTTCCGGCCAACTTCTGGTTGACTCACTTCTCGGACATTATCGGCGCCAGTCATTCGGCGGACTTCCGAATGTGGGAATACGGGGGTTACGCCTCCGAAGGGGTCCGACAAGTGGCTGAGTTGGGAGTGACTAAGAAACTCGAGTCCGAACTCAAAGCTGAATCCAATAAAATCAGGTCTTATTATTAATTTTTTAATTGAATTATTATTAGATATAATTTCATTTATAATGATTTCGCAATTGAAGGACAAAATATGTTTATTTTTGTGAGAAAATATATGAAAGAAGTGTCGGCGCCGACAATGGGGTCAATGTTATACATGTTATACAAAACCATCCATTTGTCGTTTCTTTGTTCACATTCTCGCCGATCAATGATTGAAAAAATGAGATCAAAACACTTGTATTAAGAATTTCTATATGAATATTCACTCCAGAGTTAAACTATAAATTATAATAAAAATATAATGATATATTTTAAAGCACATTAAAACAATATTCAATATAAAACAATTCAAAATTAATTATTCACTAAATAGCTTTAAGCTTTAAATATATAACTAGTGGATTATAAACATTTTAATCATATAATCTTATCAAACTGTTGACTACTAAACAAACTGTTGTATAAATATTTTATTCTGTAAAATATCATTTGTTAATTTATATAGATTTAACTAAAATTTAAGACAAACAATTTTGACTATCGTAAAATTGAGGACAAAAGCTAACATTAAATAAAAATTACAAACACATGAGACAATTGGTAGAACTAAAATATTAATCTATTATAACTGTAATTTAAATCACATATTTTTGATAAGTGTTAATATTAAAAACTTGTGCACTTGGTCATTGTTGTCATTACAATTTTAGATTCTCCCTAGTATTTTATGGCATAATTATGTGATTTTCATTAAAGACAAAATTCCTGATTAATTAAATCAAATATTTCATTCATTGTCGTAAATATTATTTTCATTATTGTTCTGTAATTAAGAAATTCTTTATTTTTTATAAAGATATTAATAAAATAGACAATAGTTTACGGACTATATAAATATACAAATAGGGTTGAAAATTCCTACTAGGAATATTCCCACTGGGAATCTTCCAAGGAATATTCCCTGGGAAAATTGGGAATATATAATTCATTCCCTGGGGAATGTTCCATTGGGGGGCGAATTGGGGGCAAAATTGGGGATAAAATTGGGGGTCGCCACACTTTACTACTTACGCCATCTGGTGAGTGAGCTTTTTGGGTGGGAACGTTCCGGGAATATTCCCACTGGGAATATTCCCAATTGGGAATATATATTAAATTCCGGGAATTTTTTCAACCGTATATACAAACATTGTGTAAACTAGATTTTCAGACTAAACACACCTACACAACATTTTACAAATTATTACTCCATGATAATTTCTAAAAACATTCCTTTTATTATTTTACCCAATATAAGAATCACGAGAAAAGGTTAAGAAGGTTAAGAGGTTGATGTTTTGGTAGTCTTAAAATTATTGAATCTCATTTCAATAATTAGATTATTTTTAAAGTACAGTATTCCCCAGTATTCGTACAATTTAGCATTAAAACCATGTGAAAATAGTATGCATGGTTCAAAATCTGTTCCCTATATCTATTTTGCACTTATAATCGAGTTTCTTATATCGTGGTCATTCTCTATTATTATTATGGTGTATAGTTAAATGAATTTTAATGTTGTTGGAAAAGTTTATTTAGGAAAACATCCAAACTTGTTATAAATTAATTTGTTTTAATAGCAATTAGTTTTATTTAAAAGTGGTAATTTGTCAGATTTCAATTTGTTTAATGTCTTTGTTAAGACAAAAATCACTTTACATGTTATTTATTTCTATTGTTAGAAACACTTTGACATTAAGGCAAAGGTATTTGCTTTCATTTAATTGGAAATACTTATACTAATCACATAAATATACCATTTCTAACACAATAGTCTTGCAATGAAATAAACGCTTAATAAATGATAGAAAATACAAGTAAAAAGTTGTCAAAACATAACTTTTCTTTCATTTGTAATTAATGTTTATAAATAAATGGAGACAAAATCCAATACGAGATGCCATAAACCACATGATTGGTGCTGAATTGTGGTTAAAAATAGTCGACATAAAAATTGGTCAGAAATGTTGTGACAATAATATTGTCTAAATTATGAAATATGAAACCAATGTTCCTTCACTTGGACTGCATTTCCCGTTTAGTTTGATTTAGTGAATGCATTTCAAAATGATNTTGAACTCACGTCTAGAGTCGTCCTCATTGTCTTCGCAGTCATAGCCAACACAAACGGGTGACAATTTGTTGGTGTCGTCTCCGCACGCTTTCTCGTAAATCCTTTGTCGAGAAACCGTTAACTTCGCGATGGGTTTCATTCTGGCGCCGGTCGAGTCATAGAAGGGAGACTCGGCGTGGTTTGGGTTCGTAGATGTGATCCTTCTTATCCTCTCCTGAGGAACGGTCGGGAAATTTGGCGCTAAATATGTTATACCGGAATCGGTTCCGGCGTCCCATAGATACAGATTCATCACTTTCTCTGTAATCCACGAACAGTTTTTAAGGCAGAGTTCGAGTGCACTCACGCCTACTATCCAGTCAGGACTCGGGCCTAACATTGATAATAATGACATCAAATGGTGTTTGGAATCCACACGAAATACAGCAAATGTTTTTCCATTTAGATTTGGATGCCATAGACCTCTCGCTTTGATTATTGTCCTATAAATTGAATTTTATTTTAAATTATTGTTAATTGATTTTATAATATATTTTTATTCTATTGCTATAATATTTATATTATTGAACACTAATAATAGTGTAATTAATATAAAATGTTGTCCAAAAAATTAAATTTCTAATAATTTTGCATTTGATGTAACTTATTGTTATATCTCAATATAAGTATTTTAGTAATATTTTATAGTTTTGTAAATTGGCGTTGTATTACCATATTTACTTTTTATTTTGAATGCATTATTATTCTGTTATAGAAAATAAATATGTAGATTTTGATTTAAATTATAAATTACCATGTTAAATAATGGCATCAGTGAATAATTTGATCTTAAAGCCCCTATAATACGGGCTATAAAAGTAGTATTTCTATTGAAACTATATGAGAAACTTTAAGCAAACTGTTTAAATGTTTTTAATTTAATATTATTTCAAGAAATATTTCGTACGAAAATTAATTATAAAAAAATATTTATTTTGTTTCTCTTTTTTGTGAAAATATTTATAATGAATTGAAGAGTGAATCGCATCACTGGATCACTGGTTCGACAAATGTGGGCAATACTAAGAAATTTGAAAAAACATTGAAACACATTGCACTTCATTG